TGTAATGCTGACGCATCAGTGTTGGGCCACAGCAACGAGTGATGGTCTTTTCCACATGCGATACTTCAACTGTTTCGAGCAACAACCAACATGGTCATTATAAAGGACGTGCAAATGCGACGGTTGTCTGGGGATACGTCGCCTTGGTGGTCCTCATTCGGATATAGACCAAGCGTGTTCGCGCCATTATCGAGGCTTTGTCTGCCCTCGGGTCGATGGGAGGTCGCGGAGCACCTTGTTTCCGCCTCGTGCTGCAAGTGACGAGACTGCTGGCAGACTTTGAGGTTCTTGGACAGCAGCAGCAGCACGTGCGTCTTCGGGCGCCGTCATCGGGATCTACGTGAAGATATGCATCGATGGTTGGCGAATGGCTGGCGTAAAAGTCGCTGTACAGGCGATGCCGATCATCTGCGCGTTGCCCTATGTGACGAGGTGCGCTGTGTAGCGCTCAATCTCGCCGTCCGAGTCGAACGTAATCTAAACGCCCATCGGTGGCCGGTAGCGTTGGCACCGAGATATTGCTGCCACGTGCGGTTCTCGATGATCTGAGAGCGTCGCGGGCTGTGTGCGGCTCGGGCGTCTGGGTCGACGCGAGGACGCCACCTTCTGCTTGCTGCTCGAGCGACGTGAAGAGCACTTGGTGAAGCAGCTCGCGCTTCATCGTCTTCAAGTGGCCCGTCGGTACGGACGCATGCGTCGGACGCTTGAGGGTCCTGGCCTTGCACCGCTGCAGCCTGCAGCGCCTTCCCGTGCGCCCGCTGTAACTTTTACAACATCTATTACTCACACCTTGATCAAGAGACATGTCAGACAAAAAGACATGATGCACAAAATACATGTTAGAGACTCTCTGCAGCGGTCGCTCCCTAGCTCTGTGATTTGTTACGAGCAAGCGCATCATCAAGGCGTCCTTGTAACAGCTCGACAATTTCCCATGCCGTCGGGCGACACGCAGGGTCGGCGGCTACGCAGTGATCCACGAGGTCTCGGTACCACTGCTCGCAGTCGTCGCGCAGCGCGGGGCGCAAGCCGCCATCGACAACGGCGGTCGTGAGCGCAACTTCGTCGTCGAAATCGTAGTCGTCAAACGGCAGCTGGAACGCGTCGAGCTCCGTCATGAGAATGCCAAACGCATAAATGTCCGAGGCAAACGACGGCGGCGAGTCGCCGGCGAGTACCTCGGGGGCCGTCCACGCCAGCAGCGCTTCGTCGGTCACCGACGTCCCAGGCACGCCGACCTGGATACCGTCGATGCGGCTCACAAACACGTTGTGGCTCGAGACGTAGCCGTGGACGAGGCTGTGCTCGTGAACGTCGAGAAGCGCGTTGGCGATCACGTAGAGGGTCTGCAGAAGCATTGGTTGCGCTGCCAGCATGCGCGAGCGTGCATCCGGGAGAAACAGCATGTGCTGGAGACTCATGACATTCGAGACCTTGAAAAGCACGCTCTTGGGCGATGCGGTGGCCACGATGTGCACGAGGAAGGGCGACGCGCACCTATATATGATCGTCAAGCACCTTGCGGATGCGATAGAAGGTACTTGGCAATGGCTTCGAGATCGTCGTCGTCGCCGATGTGGCAATGCACGACCAGTTGGCCATCCAGCATCATGTGTACACCCGCCTCAGGCAAGATCTCGGCCGCAATCTACAGACCAGTTGCTCAGGGGTGGCTCCGCACCGACGTTGCTACCTTCCGTACGGGCTCCGACATGCTTGCGTACAAGTCGCGAGCCAAGTTGCCCCGGCCAAACACCCCAGCGGTTGCCCACGGCGTCGGACCGTCCTACAATAGAGAGTCAGCGTGCTCAGGGTCGGGGAACCATGACCTGTTGCATCGGGCGAGAAGTGAGCAGTGCCAGAAACGCCATATCGCGTGCTCGGTCTTCTGCCGGTTGGCTCCGCATGCGTCGCTCGGGGCGACTTTGCCTGATATTATTCGACGAGGGTGCAGCTGGCAGCGGCGTAGGCGGCGGCGGGTCACGGAGGCTTGCCAACCAGCGCAGGATGCGACGCGGGATGCGTGGTACTTCTTGCGCATTCTACAAGTTGGCGACTCAGACTTCTGTTTCAGCTTTAACGACGTGTACCATCGGTTGTTTCAGAGCATTCTTGAGACGAAAGTTTAGCATCTG